ATTTGTTTACATTTTTTTCCTTTACCCTTTAAAATACCAATATTTGCCCATAACTTCTTATTTTTTGTCTGTTTGATGTCATCATTTTGAAAATATTAGATCAGATGATACTCAGTATTCAAGTAGCCTTCTAATCAGATACTTTTTTACCCTTACTTGAGTAATAAACCCTATATCAGGAAAATATCATCCTCGGTTTGTGTCCTTCCAGTGAGCTTTGCAGATGTGGGAAAATGTCATCAGGCAGTAATCATTGTTAAATTCATAATTATTCTCGGAGAGAGACCAACTCTTATCTGCCCCTGGGAGCCCCGTAATGCATAGCGTCATTTCAACATGGCGGTGTCCGCGACACGGTTTACATGCAGGTAGCGGCGCTGCGGCTGCTTCATATAGCGACTCGTTGCGTTCTCCCTCAACCCAAATCCTCGGATCACGCATTTTAGCTAAAACGCTAACGTTAGCTTGCCTTGCGTTGACTGTAGAGTTGTGGGTGATGGTCACGCAGATGTGTCATGAGATTTGAAGTGTTGCTGCCTTTCACAGACACTTTTTCTGCTCGTGCTGCAAACAGGATAGCCGTCTTCACTAAAATGTCCCTCGGCATTCTTCAAATATCCAAAAGATGCCCGTACTTCTGACTTTGTCTTCTTTGAGGGATGATAAATGTCCTGAGCGCTGCCGTCTCCTCCTTTGGCCATTATTTCAGCTTTAGCTTCAAGAAAGTTTTGGTTGTAAACAACAAAGTGCGCATGTGCCGCCGGAAACTTCAGCAGATGATACGTTGGCTGGTGAGGGTCACCGCGCCTACACCGCAACCACGGTAACCCACCGAGATAATATATGTTTTTAAAAACAAGACGGTTAATATTATTGTCAACTTTTTACCGGGGTTTACCGCTACACCGGTTACCGTGACAACCCTAGTTGAATGCAATAAAATAAGCCAGGATGCGTATAAGCACCTAGTACCAACAGCCAGTGTGACCACTTGGATCTATGGCACTCCAAAAATCCACAAAACAGATACCCCACTGTGCGGGGGCAGCATCCCAACTAGGGAGCCCCATAGTGGACAGCATCGGATCAGTCACATACAACCTATCAAAAGCCCTGGAGGAGATCCTCCAACCTCTATTAGGACTATCAGAACATCACTGTAGCAATTCAAAACAACTGGCTGAAGAACGCAAAACAATGAAAATAGAAAAAAATGACATCTTCATCTCACATGACATTATTTCACTATTCACAAAAACACCCATAGAGGTCACGCTACACATAGTACATGAGCGCCTAAAAACGGACAGATCACTGAAGAACCAGACAAATCTCACCGTAGACAACATATCCACCCTGTTAGATTTTGTAGCAAAATCCACATATTTTCTGAACAAAAATTTAATATACAGACAAAAGAAGGATTCGCCATGGGAGACCCGCTCTCAGCCAATGAGCGGGTTCTTCATGGAGGATTTGGAATATAAGGCCATTAACACACCACCTGCACACATCAGACCCATGTTCTGGAGAAGATATGTGGACGACATCTTGGAAATAATAAAAACTGGACACACACAACTACTCACAGACCACCTGAACACGGTCGACAACACGGTCGTCGTCTTCCTCCGCTTATCCCGGTCCGGGTCGCGGGGGCAGCATCTCAACTAGGGAGCTCCAGACCGTCCTCTCCCGGGCCACCTCCACCAGCTCCTCCGGCAGGACCCCAAGGCGTTCCCGGACCAGATTGGAGATGTAACCTCTCCAACATGTCCTGGGTCGACCCGGGGGCCTCCTGCCGGCAGGACATGCCCGAACTACCTCCCCGGGGAGGCGTCCAGGAGGCAACCTGACCAGATGCCCAAACCACCTCAACTGGCTCCTTTCGATCCGGAGGAGCAGCGGTTCTACTCCGAGTCCCTCCCGAATGTCCGAGCTCCTCACCCCATCTCTAAGGCTGAGCCCGGCCACCCTACGGAGGAAACTCATTTCGGCCGCTTGTATCCGCGATCTCGTTCTTTCGGTCATTACCCAAAGCTCATGACCATAGGTGAGGATTGGGACGTAGATCGACCGGTAAATCGAGAGCCTGGCTTTCTGGCTCAGCTCCCTCTTCCCCACGACAGATCGGCTCAGCGTCCGCATCACTGCAGATGCCGAACCAATCCGCCTGTCGATCTCCCGATCCCTCCTACCCTCACTCGTGAACAAGACCCCAGCAGACTGCAGTACCCACATTTGACCTTAAACTCCTGTGGTACATATCCATTTACTAAGGATAGATTGATTATATTTAGAATGGGGGCAGTAACCAAAGGAAATGCTTCTTTAAATAATTTGGTTGGGATTGGATCCAAAATGCAAGTTGAAGGTTTAGATGGCAGCGGGACAAAACACGTTACATTCATGTGACCCAGAATTTTCAGGGTTTTTAACCATCAAACGGACTGTTTCATTTGTTCTACTAAAACCACACCTGACAGAAGCTACTGGACATACAGAGGTCTGGGATATTTACGCCCTTTATTTATTTATTTATCTAGTGGCTTATATCCATGTCTTATTGGACTTAACACTGCAGTCAGGATCAACATTGTGGTTTTAAACCGAGTCTGTAATCACACTTTCGCTCTGATGTATTCAGACAAACACTAAGCTACAAGGCCAACAAATCCCACACATCATTTACTTACAATGACTCAAGCCCCACTACACAAGTGCATCAGCCACTAGACCAGATCCTGAGGTTATGGAGGTGCTGCCCAGGCGCAGGATTCCTGTTCCACGTCATCCTCACATATGGTTTAAATAAGGAGCCTCGTTTCTGCTCTCTGCATTTAATCAAAGTCAGACCTGGACTCTAACCCTCATCTCTTCCTTTTGGCTGCTTGTCATTTACATTCTCTGCTGCTATCTCGGCAGTTCAGCTCTGCGTTCTGTTGTACAACTTCTTTGCTGCAATGGACACATTTCCTTTTGTTAAGACTTTATTACATAGAAATGGTCAAAAAGTCTCGTTTGTCCACTCATTTTTCTCGTGTCACTGTTCTGCAGGTCTCACTGGAGATCTGGAGAATTATGTGAAAAAGCTCATAACTGCAGCCATAAAAACAGATTTACTGGGGCTGAGAGGAACGCGAAAAACAAACGAGGGAAGATTTTTCTCTAAAGACCTCTGAAAGAAGACACTCTTCATCCTTTGTCGACTCATCTAGAGTTTGCAAATCTCATAATAAATGTAGGGTGATTTGTTTTTAGAGGAGGTAACTTCACAAGAATATTGATCAGTTGAGAAGCTAAGTGAGAATTGCACTTGAATATGTAAAGGTATCTAAAATAGCAATATAATGTTAAAGGGACTTTACGGACTTTTGAATTTTTATGCTCGCGATTGCCCCCTCAGGCCAAAAGCGTAACTGCAGCTTCAATAGTAGACTCGTGCACGTGGCGCGCATGCTGTACGTGCACACTCCTTAACGAAAATAACAGCTGAGACAGTCCCGTGTGTGTGTGTGTGTGTGTGTGTGTGTGTGTGTGTGTGTGTGTGTGTGTGTGTGTGTGTGTGTGTGGCCCGGAGGACAGAGGACAGGAGAACGCGCAGCTAATTAATTAAATAATGTGGTTCTGTACCTTTCTCTTCAGCACAGCCGACAAAGGTTTATGATGGGTCAGTCCTCCTGCATGCTCAGATCATTCCCTTCCCTTGCTTGAAAAATTGTTCCAAAATGAAAGTTGAACCCACATCTTTTTTATCTCTGAATTCAATGCCGTTCGGCGAGTCTCAAATAAAAATTTGGGCATATTACTGTAAAAAAAATCATTAATGTAAAAAAGAAACTCTAAATAAACTATGATCACATCCAGAGTTGAACCCAGGTCTTCTGAATGAAAGTCTGACGTCTTACTAGGTGAGCTAAAGCGCCAGTGACATCCTTTGTATCTGTAACATTTATATCCTTGATGGCAGCTGAAACAACGTCAAACCTAAGAACGGTTTGGAGTGAAAATGGCTATTTTGTTGCTAATTTGCAGGAAACATCTAGAAGAAAGTTCTACAGAAAGTAGCTAAGGGTCCTCAGAAATGTAGCTAGCTTTGTCACAAGGCGTTATGGGCTCGACACACGGGAGGCGACTTCGCCTCTCCTCCATTAATTTTCAATGAGACGTGCGCGACAAAGCGATAATCGCGGGTCTCCCTCCTACCAAGCGAAATGCGAAAAACGTGCGTGTGAAATTTTGCGCTTGTGGTCGTGTCGTGCACAGGCGACCCAGCGACGCGATCCCAGAAAGTTGAAACATTTTCAACTTTTCATCGCTGTCGCTCGGACGAGGACCAATCAAGGGAGGTTTCACTCACTGACCAATGAGCGGACAGGATGCTCCGTACACCTCCGAGCAAACATGGAGGAGAAGTTGATTATTATTATGTTTTATAGTAAAATCAGAAGTAAGATGTCACATAACTCTAGCAGCACCTTGTGAAACATCATATCTACCGCTTTATTAACTCTGAACCGCTTAAATAACCTTAATTCCCTCCAACCTGACACAGCCAATCAAAACAACGGAAGTTTCAATTTCGCCATGGAACAGAACGCGTAGACGGCTTTGCCGCTGGCCGCTGCCGCGGATCGCCTCCCGTGTGTCAGGTAATAAAAGCGACAGCGACAAATTTCGCTGATCGCGGTCGTTTGTCGCCTCCCGTGTGTCGAGCCCATTAGGAACAGCAACAAAGTGGCACTGCCTCTCTCTCTGCTGCTAAAGCTACGGATAGCAAATGCTACGGGCTATGCCTGAGCGTGAACGCGCATGAAGCAGCCTGCTCGACCCGAGCATCTCTCTTTTTCTGTGATTTTACAGAAAAACAGGCAATCACAGTAAAAATGCCAGGGCTCATTCTACAGGACCAGGGCATTGCAGGAGAATGTATGAAGAAGACATTTATTATTTCTATACATGTTTTGGCCGTCAAACTTCCATAATGTCCCTTTAAAGCTTAAAGAGCGGGTCAATTGAGCCTCGGAGTCCTTCTCCACCCACGTATCAATTTTAAAAAATGCAACATTAGTAGGCGTTGCCTGGAGGACCGAGAGGGCGGAGCCGCGGCAGTGACGAAGACGATGGCTAACTAGACGAAGCTAGCTCCCTTCACTCTGAGCAGTTGATAGAAGTGGAGGACGTTTCTCCCCCTCCTTACAGACACTCGAGAAGAAAGGGACCAAGTCTATTTGGAGGAGACAAGCGGACCTGAGTCTTATTGTTTTGAGCTTGTGAGTTGCCTGAAACTCCCAGAACCGACCCAACAGAATCACCTCTGAAAGGTAAGTAGCCGTTAGCCATAGCATTGGATTAGCTGCAGGGTTTGTCTCCACGGCCCCAAAAAGCTAGTATTCAGCATGTTTTAGAGGTTTATCTGCTTCAGCACACCTGGTTTTAATCAGCAACAAATAGCTGAGCTGCTTAACAGCTAATCTAACCTGTTAAAGCAGGAAAATCCACTGAAACATGCTGGATAGCTCTCCGGTAGCCCTGGGCTCAAGGTACAGTCTGCTGCATATAAAGTTATGAAAATACCCCATGAGAAAATTATTCTGTAATGTGTTCAGCCCACTAAAACTGCCCTGATTTCTTTATTTATTTACTAATAACAGCTGCTCTCTCGGTTCTAGGTCCTCTGGTGTCTGCAGCTGGTCTCTGGTGTCTGCAGCTGGTCTCCTCTGCTGGTGTCCTCAGGATCAGGAACTTCCAGAAGAATGTGCCTTTCAATGACTCTTTCCCCCTTATTTGTTATATTAATTAAATAAATCTCAATTTATATATTTCCTGTTTTTGTTCATGTCCATAAATACTTAAACATGCTTGAAATTAGAACGAGCTTTTAACAGTGAGGTGCTAGTTTAATTAATCACAATAGCTAGTTAAACATGCAACAAAAATGTGATATTCAATGTAATTTATAAATATCCATTAAAATATCAAAACTGGAATCTAAATGAGATATTTGGCAGCACAAAAAACTTGTCAAACACAATATTTATTATAATAATTGTAGGCAGACAGGAGACAGAGCTGATGGAGGTTCTCAGTCATCGAAGGAAGGCTGAAGGCTTTCCAGGAACAGGAGATGTGGTGTTGTCTCTTCTCTCTCTATTCTGCCAGATGAGCTGATAGGTTACAGGTGTGTGAGGACATCCTCATGCTGTCATAACCAGATGACAGGAGTTATCAGGTGATCAGCCAGGCTAATGAGATGCAGAAAGAAAACAAATTCAGGACAGTGTACAATATGTGGTGTTGCTCACCTTATGTGCTCTTATAGAGTATTAACGTGTGCCTGCCTCATGGTGTAGAGTCCATATTTTGCTGAATGTCCTGCAATAATGCAGGTTATTAGTTAATTTACTTTTGATAGCAAAAACAAAATATTTAATGCTAAAGTTATTTTCCAGGAGAATCAGCTTACACGTCACCACCAAGTGTCACGGGCAGAATCAGTAGCCTCCGTCATGATGTAATCACATACTTATTTAATTGTTAATATCTTAAAAATTCTGAAATGTTTTAATTTTTTTTTTACCTTGAACAGTTCACTGAGCTTGCACTGTCACTGAGGTGGAAGCTGGAATCAACAGCAGACACCTCACACCTTGGTCTTTTCAGGGGGTCTGGACGCTCTGGGACCTTCTGGAAGATGAATTTTCATCATGGTCCCTGTGGGTCACCAGACACACTGCGGCTGTGAACTCCATTCTGGCTGGCTATGTAAAAACAAAGAAGCAGCACATTTATAAATGTTTAAAAGAGCATAAAATCACGTGTAAAAATAATCTGTAAAACAAATTAAAACTAGAAGGTGATAATAAAATGTTTGCATAGAAGATTATTAAAAATAATTCACCTTTGCTACAGGGAAGGTTTCACATCAGCCTGGACAAGTACATTCATGCAGCTAAATCAGTCTGACAGCCAGTGTCTTGGGTAGATTTAGCCTGAAAAAAAAATAGAAGCACATTGTTGTTGGAGTTTATAGTCAGATAATATACAAAAGAATCTCCTATATAGGCGCTTTATAACATTCCTAGTGTGTGATCGTTGTTATAACGTAAAAGTCAGTCACATATGATGTGGAGAGCCTGAAATGCGACCTCCTGAACAGAATTCCTCACAGAACCGGGTCACAAGCTGGATTTCACGCTGTAATGCTGTCAACAAGTGCAGCGTTAGTTAGAGACACTGTTGCAGAATTGCCGACTGACTAGCTAAAGGAAGTGAACCACGTCTCTCAGACTTTGCATTTAGGTAGGGAATTGTCTTTAGAAGATGTTAAAACGTTTATTTAGCTGACTCACCTCAGACTGGAGCCCGCCGTGGTGGGGGAGCAGAGTCGGTGGGCTGCATCTAAATCGCGGAAGAGCCACGGTGGGCACAGCCTCCCTCTTCAAACGGAGACGTGCAGAATCGCGGGTAAAATGCCCACAGAGTCACCGCAACCATACTACACTACACCTACTCACCAATACTAAGACGATATGGAACACTAAACCCGAAATACTTTCCCAATTACACTAACAGCCAAACACTAACTAAACTATAATATACAACAGCCAAGCTAACACTAAATAAGTATTTATAACACTAAAAGATATGCTAAAGACTAGGATATGCTAATGCTATATGCTAATGCTGAACTACCGCTGACCTCCTACACTCGCTTGCAAATCCAACTCCCAACTCGCCACAGGGCGTGGCCGAGACGCTCGTTGCTTTTATAACTTTGGCACGGAGCTGCTACGTAGTACTCTACTGGTTTACGTAGTACTTTACTCTTTAGCCATTGGCTAAAATTTATTCAAAATGACTCAAATTCTATGTTTTCAGCTGAAGGTGGCGCATTACTGTGGTTTTTAGACAGAATTTTTAATTTTTAAAGAAAATGCACCAAAATGCTAAAATAAAGAATGCACACATTTAAAACACTATTAGACACTCATTTATACAGTTCATCAGCAAAAAAAAGTTAATTTAGACGTTACTCTTTAATGTAACTGGTCTTCCACCACAGCCAGCTGTCACAGAGTTTGGGTTTATTTCTGATTAGGTTTCTGTATGAAAGCTTTAATCATTATGTTCTTTGGTTACTTTAATTAGTTTAAGATGTCTGTTTCCAGTTTTGATTCCCGTCTATATTTTATTGCTAGCTAGTTGTCATTTACAAAACTGGTTCCTTTTTTCATGCAACCAGTCCATTGGGATAAAACCTCACTTAGGGATAAACGATTTAAAGAACACTGAAAAGGCATTTTAATGGTTATTTCTGGTTATAATAGGCCACTGGGCTTTTCCTACAGGCTCAACATGAAAATAGTCTCCTACGTGGTGAAAAGACGGTGAAACTCTAGGATTTAAAAATCCTGACAGATCTACGTCACACTGTCACTTAACATTCATGGACTCACCCATCTTGACTCACAATGGGGAAGGCTGTTGTTGGTTTAGCGTCCAGGAAACAGCAGAGAATGTCTCAGCTAGTAGAAGCTAACCATTAGCATTAGCAACTCCACCACACAGCAGAACTCCTTTAGGCTTGTGTTGTTGGTGGAAATAAAACATCAGCGTTGCAAGTCAGTGGTGGAGTTGCATTGTTGTTATCCAATCCTAGGCAAGATGTCCAAATGCAGAAAATAACACTCCAAATCCTATCGTCTGAATCTCTCCTCCTCTGTGGCTCACTACTATATCCTGAAAATTGTGCACCTGTCATGAACAGAACTTGGAGGACCCATGATGACACCAAACACAGTACGACGTTTTAAGCAGTCTTTATTAGCCAGAGGCTAATAGGAGGCGTTACCGGAGAAAACTCAGGTAAGGGCAGAGTCGACGGCAGGCGTGGGTCGAAACCAGATCGAAACTAAGCAGGTACAGGGAGCAGGCTGGAGACGTGGTCGTAGACAAGCTAGGGTTGTGGTGGCAGGCAGAGTTCTTGGTGATGGTCAGGCGTGGAAACAAGGTCAAGAGAATCTTGCAGGAAGGAAGGCTGGAAGATTTACTGGCAAAAGTGTTCAACAATCTGGCAGAGTGCTGGTGGTTGACTGAGGAATATAGAGCTGGTGAGGCAGGTGTGTGGCATGAGCTTGATGAGGGGACCAGGTGTGCTGCATGAAGGCTGATGAGGTGAATGATGGTGCATGAAGACAGGTAGGTAGGTTTTAACCGCTGCAAATCTGCAACGCCTGCCACCAGAGGGTTAAACAGGTCATGCAAAATAAGAAGAAAGGGGAAGGAGGACAGCAAGTCTGTGGTTTGTTTTCTGTTTACCTCGGCTATGGAGGGTTCACAGGTCATGAAACACTTTTTTAACTAGTTAAACAACTAAAAATCTGCATGTGACTTTTATTTTGAAAGTTTGTAGATGTTTTAAACTGCTTTTGTGTTTTATTTTCTGTCTGGCCCGTTCAGGACTGATGAGCTTGACGTGCTTTAGAAATGTAGTGCGTATAAATCTGACTCCAAGCATAAGTTTAGTGTCCCTACGCTTGTGTTCAGACGCGTGGCTGCAGGAGGAAACACACCCATCCACTACAACGGGGGCCACGTGCTGCGTACTACGCTTTGTGAATGTTACATGATGCTTATGCATGTAGTTTTTTAGGGGGGAACAGGGGGACATGCCCCCTCCCCCTTTTGTCCCCTGCACTTTTTACCGTCCAAAAACAATGTCTATCTAATAGGGCTGTAGTGAAATGTCTCCCGGCAACGAACAACTTCCGGGGTCAGATTTGCTGCTTCGTCTCTACCACAGATGTAGAAAATCACCGGGAGCGTTTCTCCCTTCATAAAGGAGCTTCTTTCAGACATTAGGAGAGCTGTGCTGGTGGTAGCAGTCTCTCCTCCGCGCTGGTCCGTTTGCTGCTGGGTGTTTTTGGTTTATTTAAACTTGGTAACTTGAACTTAACGTTGGTAAAGCTACTGTTAGCGTTTTTGCTAACAGCTTCTTGCGTTTGGATAAGCCGTTACGTTTTGGTTTAGAGTTCATCTTTTTTGTGGTGCAGATCTCCCTTTTATTACATTTAGAGTGTTGTGGGTTTTCGGTTTAGTTTAAAATATCACCTTGAGTTTGGTTTAACCGCCCAGTTTAGAGTTTGGACCTTTGGAGATCCTTATTTTGGTCCAGAACCCTGTAATCTTTGCCCAGTGGGACATCCCTAGTTATTTGTACTTTTGTTTTAATTCCCCACAGGCAGAATTAATTTTATTATTCCCAACCTGTGGATGGAAAGATTTATGTTTTTTTTGTAGTTGTAAATAAACCCGATCATCATTTTAACTTTTAAATCCCGTTATTGTCCCTTCCTTTTTGCACACGAGCCATACTCCCCAGGAAGAGTCGTAACACCACTCGCCTCACGCACATAAGTGACCAAAACAAAGCAGCATGGAGACACTCCGTCTCCAACCACCTCTCAGGCAGCAGCCTGCACTCCCAAGTTCTACACGTCACCAGAACATAACCAACCAACACAATAAAAGCAGTGTTATAAAAATGGAAGGCCTGTAGTGTTTATTCTCTTACAGTAACAATTAATCAATGTTTTTGAGGAATTTATTAGAGATTTTTTGGTTTTTATTAACTGTGCAATAGAAAAAAAAAACCACTAGATTAATCGTCTAAATAGTCATTAGAATAGTCGACTATTCGATAAAATATCCGTCAGAATAATCATTTTAAAAATAATCGTTAACCCCCAGCCCTACAATCTAACGCTATGTAAGACAGACAATGGTTGAGCACTAGGACCAGGCGGAAAACAACGCTTGTGTTGGAAGCCTGTTTCCCATTTCATATTACGTATTTTTTGTATACTTATTGTAAAAACAACCCAAGAGATAAAACAAGACAACAGGCCCAACTCCTGGGGCTTGTTACACACACATCTTAATTATTGGAAGTGTAGAATTTGTTTAGTGTTTTATTATTTTCTGCATCCGGGCTGCATGGTGGCGCAGTGGCTAGCACTGTTGCCTCGCAGCACGAAGGTTGCAGGTTTGAAACTCGGCTGTGGCCTTCTGCGTGGAGTTGCGGGTTCTTCCCGTGCATGCGTGGGTTTCCACCGGGTACTCCGGTTTACCCACAGATCACAACATGCCCTATAGGTTATAAATTTTAAGTCGCTTTGGATAAAAGCGTCTGCTAAATAAATAAACATAAACATAAACATCAAACAGAACTTGATTCATTCTCCAACATTTCAGAATTGAGACCACTGGGTTCAAATAAAATAACAAACTAAGTCAAACATTTCATTTGGTATTATTCCTGACACTCTTGAACTGTGGCATAAATATTTGACTCTAGAGCTGCTCAGAGACATTAAACATAGATGAACCCATTATGTATTTTATTATTACATTACGTGTCCTGTAGGTTTTCAGTACTTTTTTAGATTGAGTTTTTGCAAAGCGTGTTTTCTCAGCCTGAGGCGTGGTGTTGAACGAGGAAACAGATGTTTTACTTTGTTAAATCTTCTTAAATGTTTAAAAAGTTTTGTCCTAACCTGTTGTGATTTGAGAGCTTTTGAGGGATGGCAGGTTGTGTCGATTACGTTTTTGCTAAAAAAAAAAAAAAAAAAAAAGATAAAATGCAATTATCTGACATCTTCTATCTATCAATGAAAACAAATATATATGAAATAATCGTGATGCATCGTGATACATGCCTATAGCCCCGTGCCTATAGCCTCGTGCCTATAGCCGAGTGTCTATAGCCCCATGCCTATAGCCCCGTGTCTATAGCCTCATGCCTATAGCCACGTGTCTATAGCCCCGTGCCTATAGCCCAGTGTCTATAGCCCCGTGCCTATAGCCCAGTGTCTATAGCCTCATGCCTATAGCCCCATGCCTATAGCCCCGTGTCTATAGCCTCATGCCTATAGCCCCGTGTCTATAGCCTCATGCCTATAGCCCCGTGTCTATAGCCTCATGCCTATAGCCCCATGCCTATAGCCCCATGCCTATAGCCCCGTGTCTATAGCCGCATGCCTATAGCCCCATGCCTATAGCCCCGTGTCTATAGCCGCATGCCTATAGCCCCATGCCTATAGCCCCATGCCTATAGCCCCGTGTCTATAGCCGCATGCCTATAGCCCCATGCCTATAGCCCCGTATCTATAGCCCCATGCCTATAGCCCCGTGTCTATAGCCGCATGCCTATAGCCCCATGCCTATAGCCCCGTGCCTATAGCCTCATGCCTATAGCCCCGTGTCTATAGCCGCATGCCTATAGCCCCATGCCTATAGCCCCGTGTCTATAGCCGCATGCCTATAGCCCCATGCCTATAGCCCCATGCCTATAGCCCCGTGTCTATAGCCGCATGCCTATAGCCCCATGCCTATAGCCCCGTATCTATAGCCTCATGCCTATAGCCCCGTGCCTATAGCCTCATGTCTATAGCCTCCTGCCTATAGCCCCATATCTATAGAGTTATGCCTATAGCCCCGTGCCTATAGCCCCGTGTCTATAGCCTCACGCCTATAGCCCAGTGCCTATAGCCCCATACCCATAGCCCTGTGCCTATAGCCCATGTCTATAGCCTCACGCCTATAGCCCAGTGCCTATAGCCCCATACCCATAGCCCCGTGTCTATAACCCATGTCTATAGCCCCATACCCATAGCCCCGTGCCTATAGCCCATGTCTATAGCCTCATGCCTATTGCCCCATACCCATAGCCCCGTGCCTATAGCCCATGTCTATAGCCCCGTGCCTATAGCCCCATACCCATAGCCCCGTGCCTATAGCCCATGTCTATAGCCCCGTGCCTATAGCCCATGTCTATAGCCCCGTGCCTATAGCCCCGTGCCTATAGCCCCATACCTATCGCCCCGTGCCTATAGCCCCATACCCATAGCCCTGTGCCTATAGCCCATGTCTATAGCCTTATGCCTTTTTCACCAGCCACCACTGTGTTCATCACAGAATTTTATTGTGTCTATTTGCTGTGCAGCTTCAAGCTGAAATCACATTCCGAATACATAATTTCCAGGTTGTATAGTGGTCACCATGGCGACCTAATGAGCCACTGGCCGCAGCTACAACATTTCTGTTGTTTACCTGCCGGTCATGAGCTGGCTCCTGGACGGGCTGCACAGCGGCTGAACGTAGTAGTTCTCCAGTTTGACTCCCTGCGCCGCCAGCCGGTCCAGGGTGGGCGTTTTGATCTCAGAGCCGTGGTACCCAACATCCCGGAAGCCTTGGTCATCCACCAGAATGAAGACGATGTGCGGCTGAGAGTTCGGCTTCTCGAACTCATCCCCTTGGTTCCGCGGCTCGGTTCTCCAGGTGTCCCAGGACATCTGAACGCTCCATGTGTGAGAGATGACGAAGCTGAGGAACAAACTCACCGGGGCCCACAGGAAGAACATGTTCCAGGCCGACCCGATCCGCAGTTACTGTTCAGGGGTGGCCATCGCGTCCGGTCGGTCCAGAATCACCTTTCCTCTGACAGAACACGGCTAGAGAATCCAAGGGAGCTCCAGACACATCCTCTCCACCCCGCATCAGCTGTTCCCGCCGGCAGCGCGCGAACTGCAGCAGTGTTCGCCCAGGAGCCCGGACTCCGGTCCGGTCCGGTCGGTCCTGCTGCTCCGGGTCAGATTACCAGCTGGGGTTCCGGAGGAGGACCGAACTCAGCAGCAGGGGGCTGACAGCAGATGTTCTCCATCCTGTCACACCGACGCTCTGCGCTCGCCACACGAACTCGACCCAAAGTCAGGATCCTGCTGTAGGAGGCTGGTCCGTGATGCGTTCAAGGGCCGCACGGAATCCTCGCTTTTTACTTTGTTCGTTCTACTTTTATTTATGTATTCATTTGCTTGTTTATTTATTTATTTTTAATATAATACTAGTATTATCATAGAAGAAGAACAACAACAATAACACATTCATCAAGGATCACTCTTCTGAATTCTGGGTGTTTCATGACCAGAACAATCCTGGATCCAGTAAACAAAAAATAAATAAACAAAAAGTTAAAAAAGAAATAGATAAAGAGCCAGTTTCTGAGTCACATGAGCAATCTGGATCACCATCCCACCATCACAGCTTTTATTTGTTTTTGTGTTGTTCACAGCTATTTGTAAAGTTATATTAATAAAACCATGAGCTCAAATGAAGCAGCGTAAAGGAGGACCTACTATGATGCTGAGGCATTACAGGAATAGATAAGTAGATAGGTGTTCTGGATAGTAAAAATAGCTAGCCGATACAATGAAATAAGATGGCCTTAATCAAATCAATCAAAAATAATCAAGCCTCGATGTAATAAAAGCATGAATTACTATTTCTAAATCCTTTGTTGACAGTAAGGCCTTTACCTTGGCGATCCTTCTTAATTGATAAAAACTTGATTTAGTCACTGCACTGTCCAAGACAAGATCCTGTCCAGTACAACACCCAGCTGATGAAAAAACTTCTTTTTAAAGCCTAGGGGGAACCAAAGGAGAACCAGGTTTCACAGAGTTAACAAAAACCAAAAGACATTCCAACGTAAGCGACTCAAACTGGGACCAGAAAGAGTCTGACAGGGGACTGATGCAATCTGAGCTCTGATATCGACTATTTTGTCCGCAAAAAAAAAATCTCTAAAATGCTTCGCAACACATCACAGAGGTCTCATTACCCACTGGTTGGTGAATATTGAGGATATGACCAATAACATTAAAAAGCATCCGTGGCCTGTGACACCCTGAGATTATCACGTTTGAGAAATTAACCGTCCCAGCATCTCTCACATTCTCCTGATAGTCACAAAGACGCCTGAAAGGAGCTCAGTAACCTATCCTTCTTCCACATCCTTTCTGCTAGTCAACGTTTCCGCCCTAATAATCGTGTAAACTCGTTCAGCCACGCTCTGATCTGGTCCTGAGCAGCCTAGACTATGGAGCGACAGAATCTAAGACACTACTGCAGGTAGCATGGAGCCAGGAGCTTAGTGCATTCACTTCAATGGGGCGACGGTGGCACAGGAGTTAAGTAAGTAAGTAAGTAAGTAAAAGTTTATTTATATAGCACCTTTCTCAGATATAAATCACAAAGCGCTGTACAACATGATAAAGATCAGGGCAAATACCTCTAACCAATAAAAACATCAGAAAAACAATAGCAGTGATAAACGTAGAAAATAAAATCATGAGTATAAACAAAGTGAAGGTGTGAACCCAAACAAAGCCATCATTCTGAAACATTTAGGGAGGGAACGACTGGATGAAAAGGTGAGTTTTTAGATGATTTTTAAAGACCTCTACAGTGTTAGAGAGACGGAGATTTGAAGGTAGACTGTTCCAAAGTCTGGGTGCAATAGTCTGAAAGGCCCTGTCCCCTTTGGTTTTCAGTCTGGTTCGAGGAACAGCCAGGAGGTTTTCAGATGTGGATCTAAGGTTCCGAGAGGTGGTGTGTGGGGATAAAAGCTCAGATAGGTAGCTTGGAGCCTGGTTGTTAAGAGCTCTATAGGTCAGGACTAAAACTTTAAACTGTATTCTATATTCTACCGGGAGCCAGTGGAGGGACTGTAACACTGGAGTGATGTGAGCTCGTCTGCTGGATTTTGGATGGCTTGAAGGCGTGAGAGGGAGGTTTTGCTGAGACCAGTAAAAAGAGCGTTACAGTAGTCTAAGCGTGATGACACAAAGGCATGGATGATTTTTTTCCAAATCTGCAGTAGAAACCAGTTTACGGACTTTTGACATGTTTCTCAGTTGAAAGAAACAAGAGCGGGAGATGGTTTTGACGTGTGAGTCTAAACTTAAAGCTGGATCAAAAATAACTCCCAGGTTTCTAATGTTGGCCTTGGCTGATGGGCAAAAAGAGGCAATTTCTTGCTCGATTTTTGGTTGAAGTTCCGGGGGTGCAGAGATCAGGGTCTCTGTCTTGTTAGCATTTAAGACAAGAAAGTTGCTGGACAGCCAGTTACTGATCTGGGTCAGGCAGAGTGCAAGTGTGGCCAGCCTGTCCAACTGGTGTGGCATAAAGGACATGTAGAGCTGAATATCATCAGCGTAGATGTGGTAGGAGATGTCTGGGAAAGACTGAATGATGCCAGCTAGGGGAAGAATATAGAATGCAAATAGAAGAGGCCCTAGAACTGAACCTTGTGGGACCCCGCATGTTAGAGAGGCAGTATCTGAAGAGAAGGTTTCGGACTTCACTGTGAATGTTCTGTTGGTGAGAAAGGAAGAGAGCCAGTCTAGAGCAGAACCTGAAATCCCAGCCAGGGCCTTCAACCTGTTTAGTAGAACGTTGTGGTCTACAGTGTCAAAAGCTGCACTGAGGTCAAGCAGGACCATGACAGAGCATTTCCCTGCATCAGCAGCCATCAGGAGGTCATTATGCACCCTTACTAGAGCAGTCTCAGTTGAGTGCTGCTTCAGAAAGCCAGACTGGAAGGGGTCAGAGATCTTTGACTTAGAAAACCAGGATCTGAGTTGGGTTTCAAGTGCTCGCCCTGTAATCGGAAGGTTGCAGGTTCGAGCCCCGCTCAGTCTGTCACTGCCGTTGTGTCCTTGGGCAAGACAATTAACCCACGTTGCCTGCTGGTGGTGGTCGGAGGGACCGGTGGCGCCAGTGCTCAGCAGCCTCGCCTCTGTCAGTGCGCCCCAGGGCAGCTGTGGCTACATTGTAGCTCATCCCCACCAGTGTGTGAATGTGTGTGTGTGAATGGGTGAATGACTGATTGTGTTGTAAAGCGCCTTGGGGGGTTCCAGGACTCTAGAAGGCGCTATATCAAATACAGGCCGTTTACCAGTTACATCCAATAAGGCAGCACTAGGAGGTGTAGGAAGGTCATCAAAGGCAGAAGAGAAATGAGCAGCAGTTGAAGGGTCAATACCTCTAACTTGCCGAGGGTGCACAGAGGCGCCCACAGTCACATCAGACAGAAACACAGAAAACAGGCATGTGGTCTGAGAAAATAGCATCACAAGTCACCAAGTCAGATACCAACACACCACATGTTAACACCAGGTCAAGAGTGTGTCCGTGTTCCTGGGTCGGGGCACAAACATGCTGCACAAAATTAAAAGAGTCCACAATTCTCAAGAACTCTTTCACCGTTGGTTTGTCAGGGCAACACGTGTGAATATTAAAATCACCTCAAATCAGCAACCTGTCATACTCTGGCAGCACTTGTGCCAAAGTCCAGCAAACTCTGCCAGAAAGTCCTTGTTGTGCCCGGGTGGGCGGTACACCACCGTGCACAGCACGGGGTCATTACGACCAAGTTCAAACAGGTGACCTTCAAACCTGCTGAGAGATGGGAAAGGGTGATGTTGTGGAACTGCAACAAACCAAACTAACTGGCAGCATTACTCCCACGCTGTCGAGGACAGGAGGAATAAATATAGCAATGATGATCCAAACAACTGAAGCCAGCAACAGGAACCAGCCAGGAGCAAAGGGGCTCCTCCAATCGCCTCGGGTCCCTGGATGGGAATACGCCATCAGCCGCACCGGGAAGAGGTAGCTGCCCAAACTTCAGCCTCGTTAGCTTTCCGCCTCGCTTCACTCTGCGTTTCCCCAGGCATGTTGAACGCCTCCTCCAGGGCGGAAGCACCGGAGCACGGCACAGGTATGCTGGAATCCTAGCGACAGCGGTGGCAAAGTATCGTGCCCAACTTTATCAGAAGTCCACAAGCGTATGGCGACCATACACCAGCAGAGTCAGCAACACGGCTCATAAAACAGCTAAATATTAAAAGCACAATTAGTGATGTGATGCCACCAACACCGGCGATCTGATGATGGCTAGAGATTCTAACTGAAACATTCAAAAGTCCATCCATCCATCTTCTGAACCCGTTTTGTCCCAGCGGTCAACGGACAATCAGGCGGGATACACCATGGACAGAAAGCCAGTCCATCGCAGGGCAACACAGAGACATACAGGACAAACAATCATGCACACACACTCGCACCTAAGGACAATTTAGACAGACCAATCAACCTAACAGTCATGTTTTTGGACTGTGGGAGGAAGCCGGAGAACCCACGCATGCACAGGGAGAACATGCTAACTCCATGCAGAAAGATCCCAGGCCGGGAATCGAACCCCCCAGGACCTTCTCGCTGCAAGGCAACAGTTCTAACCACTGTGCAGCTCCACATTCAAAAGTGTTTTTACTAAACTTTGTAAAAAAAATAACAAGAAAACAGAAAACGCAGGTAAACGCAGAAATAACGAGTTTCACAGAACCAAGAAGTCTCAGCTTAGAGAACAAAAGAAAGAAAGAAAGAAAACGATGATTTCATGAAGCGCCTCTCAAGATAAAAGTCACGAGGTGCTTCACGAGAACAAAAATTCAAAAATCAAAGATAAAAAAATACATTTAAATCATTAAATAAAATACTAGTTCCACTGGGCCCAATAGGTCCAGAGCTAAATGTTTGTCATCCTTTTAGGTAGGGTGGAGACTATTAGGTGTACCTATTAGATACAGCCTAGGTAGAGCTAGCTGTCCTCTGGTGGGATTTTACTCAGGCACCAACGTTCATGCAGGACATTAAGGCCAAGTCCACACGTAGCCGGGTTTTTAAAAAAACGAATATCCGCCCCTCCAAAAACTTGCATCCACACCACCTCGTTTAAAAACAAACTCTGTCCACACGTACCCGGATAAATACGTTGTTAAGGACATGCCAGACCTGTAGGCGGCAGTACTTCCCCCGTTCTTAACCTCGTCCTTCGTCTGTGGTCTTCCGCAAGGAGCAGTAATTCCGCTTGCAAAAACAAACAAGCAGAAAGCGCTTGGACAATTGATAAAGCGAGCGCAGCTCTGAGGGCATCCATGCTGTCGGCTAGTGTAAACACAGGTCGCACACGTGATGTCAGCATTTTTTGTCGCGGAAAGTGACGTTGCGGACCTTAAAAGTCCGGTTTTGTCTGTCCACATGCAGACACCCAAAACGGAGAAAACGCAG